GGGCTGGATTCGAACCTGCCACCTTAGGTGTATGTGGCTGGCACCTTAGCCACTTGAGCCACAGGCGCAGAGCCTGTTTTGTTTTGTTTTTGTTTTTGTTTTTTTGAGACAGGGTTTTACTGTGTCGCCCTTGGTAGAGTGCTATGGTGTCACAGCTCACAGCAACCTCTAACTCTTGGGCATAAGCAATTCTCATGCTTTAGCCTCCTAAGTAGCTGGGAATACAGGCACCAGCTGCAACCCTCTGCTATTTTTTGGTTGCAGTTGTTTAGCTGGCCTGGATAGGACTCAAACCTGCCACCCTTGGTGTATGTGGCTGATGCTGTAACCACTGTGCTACAGGCACTGAGTTGGCTATTTATTTTATTATTATTTTCTTTTTAGAGATAGAGTGTCACTGTATTGCCCAGGCTAGTCTCAAACTTCTGTCTCAAACTCCTGGCTTCAAGCTATCCTCCTGCCTCAGCCTCCTGAGTTGCTAGAATTACATGCAAGAGCCATGTGCCTAGTTCCCTGACTTATTTTCTAGAGTTGTTACCCTTAGCCATATCCTTACAAGTTTCTGATTTGTGGTGACTTCTTTGTGATTAGCATTAGCTTATAAACATAGCCATCTCTTGAGTGTTTTAGAATGAATAGAAGTACTTGCTGTAGTGCTATTCTGCTCATTAATTAGAGCTTTAGTTGGTTTAAGCATGTGTGGAATTAAGAGATACGAATTTGGTATGGTTTCTTTCTTTTTAATTACTGGCATAAAAGCAGGAAATAGTTTGAGTAGTTACCTTGAAAAGAAGAGAGTATTAGTGCTTGGCCAGTGATAACTTGAATGTCAAGTTGGTGGTGTGGTAAGGGAATTAGTGGCAGTTCTGTGTCAGTTAAGCAGATGAGTTCTGCCATTTGAGAAGTTTCTGTTAATTGAAAGAATTCACCGTTCAGGCCAGGCACTGTGGTTCATGCCTGTAAATCCTAGCCCTCTGTGAGGCGAAAGGTGGGAGGCTTTCTTGAGCTTAGGAGTTCTAGATCAGCTTGAGCAAGAGCTTGAGCCTATCTGTACTAAAAATAGAAAAATTAGCTAGGCCAGGTGGCACCAGCGTGTAGTCCTAGCTACTTGGAAGGCTTCGGGAGAGGGTGATCCTTTCTGTCCAGGAGTTTGAGGTTGCTGTAAGCTACGGTCATGCCACTCTAGCCTGTACAATAGAGTGAGACTCTTGTCTCAAAAAAAGAGAAAGGAGACTTGGTGCCAGTAGCACAGTGGTTACGGCACCAGGCACATGCACTGAGGCTGGCGGGTTTGAGCCCAGGTCAGGCCAGCTAAACAACAATGACAACTGCAACCAAAAACTAGCTGGGCGTTCTGGCAGGCTCCTGTAGTCCCAGCTACTTGGAAGGCTGAGGCAAGAGAATCGCCTAAGCCCCAGAGCTGGAGGTTGCTGTGAGCTGTGACTCCATAGCACTCTACCAAGGGTGACATAGTGAGACTCTGTCTCAAAAAAAAAAAAAGAGAGAAAGGAATGAGCCAGGCATGGGCTCATGCCTGTAATCCTAGCCCTCTTGGAGGCCAAGTTGGGTGGATTGCCTGAGATCATGGGTTTGAGACCAGCCTGAGCCAGAGTGAGACCCCACTTCTGAAAATAGCTGGGGGGTGTGGCAGGCATCTCTAAGTCCTAGCAATTCGGGAGGCTGAGGCAAGAAAATCACCTAAGCCCAAGAGTTTGAGGTTGCTGTGAGCTGTGACGGCGTGGCACTCTATGGAGGGTGACAAATTAAGACTCTATCTTAAAAGAAACAAAACCTCCCACTCTATTCAAATTAGCTTTAAGAAACATTGATAGTTGCTTTTATATTTGCCTCCACATCTCTAAATGTGTTTACTTTTGACTTGTGCATAATGTAATTACATATCACACACTGATACTTGATTTTGTTAAATCTATTTGTCTTCTATTTGTTTGTTATGTCTATAAGTTTGTCTTTAGATTATAAACTCTTCGAAACTAGGAATCATGCTTGGCTAACTCAGGTGTATGGTGCCATACCAGTACTGGTTGATGACTTCTTTGTGATTGATTTTGATGCCTTTGTTATGTATTGTATCATTAGGACCAGACTAATGCTTTTAATTCTGGCTCTTTGGAAAATAAAAGTGATAGCTTTAAAGTACTTGAGAATTTTTTCCAGTTTTGAATTATCGTATGATGTATGTAGGAAGGAATGAAATAATGTTTTCTTAATCTCTTCCAGCATTTGCTCTCGCAGAATTAATTGATAATTCATTGTCTGCCACTTCTCGTAATGTGGGTATTAGAAGAATACAGATCAGATTGGTAAGAAAATAATATAAAGTAATTTAACTTTTCCTTTTATAAAAGTAGTATAAGTTAGGCCGAGTGTGGTAGCTCATGCCTGTAATCCCAGCACTCTGGGAGGCTGAGGTGGGTGGATTGCCTGAGCTCAAGAGTTGGAGACCAGCCTGAACCAGAGTGAGACGCTTGTCTCTAAAAATAGCCGGACATTATGGTGGGTGCCTGTAGTCCCAGCTACTGGGTAGGATGAAGCAAGAGAATCACTTGAGTCTAAAGAGATCACAAGAGTCTAAAGTTGCTGTGAGCTATGACGCCATGGTATACTGAGGGCAACAAAGTGAGACTCTGTTGCATAAAAAAAAAAAAAGTGCTATAAGGTGATTAGACAAAAATTAGAAAATAAACTATATGTAGAAACAATTGTCATATTTCTTCATCCATTGTTAAAATTTTGTCGTGTGCTCTTTTTCTGTGCATATATGTATACATGTACATGTACATTTTAATTTTTATATTCTATTTTCCTTAAATAGTAAATTATTAACATTTGCTATATCATGAATTTTCTATAATACGATATTCCATTGCTACAGAGTGGCTTACTGGTTGTAATATAAGTTATATAGTCAGTGTTCTCTTGTTGAATATTTAGATATTTTTACCTCTGAAAGCAAAGCTGGGATGATGAATATTACTATATGGCTTTGTGCACATCTCTGCTTATTTCTTTAAGTTAAATTCTGAGAAATGGAATTTCTAGGCTGAAGGACATGAAGAATTCTGAGGTTTATGATACAGCTGAAGTGTCTTTTAGAAAGTATTAATTTACACTTCCACTACAGTGTATAAGTGAGCCCATTTAGTCACTTTTTTTCATATTTAACTTCTAATATTTTAAGTATTGATTTAACCTTTTCTTTTTGAACTTATTTTGTTTCACAGCTTTTTGATGAGACACAAGGAAAACCTGCTGTTGCAGTGATGGATAATGGAAGAGGAATGACCTCTAAACAGCTCAACAACTGGGCTGTGTATAGGTTGTCAAAATTTACAAGGCAAGGTGACTTTGAAAGGTTAGAAAACCTTAATTTTTTTATGGGACGCTGTGTATTTTAATAAGGGTAAAAATTTAACATGCCCTTAGGTACACAAGATATATTAGAAATTTTGAAGTTACCAGCATATTTATTTAGGCTTTTATATTATAGAACCTTTATGATCAATTTTCAGAAATAGAACTACATAATGTGGTACCTTTTCCTTGAAACACTCTCTTTGCTAAAGTGTGTAGGAGTTAAGGTGATGTGTTGAGTATGTTGGCGTTTTCCCCCTTTTCTTATTAAGTCTGTGTAGCTGCTTAGAGCAGTATAATGGTTTAGAAATAGGGTTAGAAATCACTTTGTACTACTTGCAAAATGTCTACAACTACACGTGGTTCTGTGGAGTTCACTATTATTGCTCTACTTTCAGAGGTCTATTTTGCATACCTATTAGGGAATAGAATCCAGTCATGGGTTTTATATCAGAATATGCTTGTAGAAAATATCCTGAGAGAGAATGGTTTAGGGAAGACAAAATATGCTAAAAGCTGTCAGAGATAAAAAGATTTGCATGTTTGGCATAATAGCAGACCTCTATTAAGAAGAGCTTTGATTGGCTCTGCGC